TGTTACTTACAAGTCCAACAAATCATTATATCATATAATGATTGCTTAATTCCGAAAAATATTTTTTTATAGCAAGTGATTGGAAGCAACCCTGATTTTGTCATTGGGTTAATGTTGTTTTCGCACAACTTTTTGAAAATCCGGAGTGATTTGAGATTTGGGCGTAATTGCTTTTGTAAACAAACACTTCAATCACCGATTTCTCGCGAATAAAAACTCAGCCTGGAAAACTAAAAACACACTCATGTAGGAATGATTCCTCTGTCATTTGGAATAGTTTGTTCGCAAGATTGAGCTTCTATTCGCAAGAAATCAGCGATTGACCTATTTGTTTACAATAGCAATTACGCCAAATCTCGAAGTTTTCCGGAAATATAAAAAGCAGTTGCTGCTGGCTAGCTAAACATGAGTGGTCCAAGGTGCAGTAAAAAAATAAAGTAACAGACAGTCAACCCGTGATACACATTAAAAATTAAATGATATAACAGTTGTATAATTCTGACTCCTTCAAGATTATCGATTAATAGCGGATGAAATCGGATGGTATCGGCAAACGCATGTTATTATTCTTTACGAATCGTAAAAATCCACAAAAATCCAATTTATGAAGCAAATTTTAGAATGGATTACTTTTGCCCCCTCGTGAAAATCATGTGTCACATGAAATGTATAAGCGGTCACACATACCTTTTATGTATTCTTATAGGACCTATGTGGTTTGTCTTATGGAATGTATAAGGCTGATGTTTTGGCAAAAATGTATAAGTGAAACACATGAATAAAATAATTGATTTTCGTTTCGTGTACACAACTTCTAATTCAGCTCTGATCAGCCTAAATTACTGCAGTTAGTGTTAGTGTCAATAGCCTAATTTTCACCTTTTATACAATGATGGAATTCAATTCAACGAGGAACGGATGGAAGATTCCCACGACTATCAGCTGACGGATGGACAGAGGTAGCCAAGTAGAAGCTCTATATACGGACTTCAGCAAAGCATTTGACAGAATTGATATCCCAATTCTGATTTTTGAATTAGAAAAAAATGGGAATTGAGATGAAGCTCCTCACATGGATTAAGTTGTATTTAGTTGATCGCCAGCAAATTGTAAGATTCAACGAGAAAAATATCTAACTTAATTAAAGTCACGTCAGGGGTTCCCCAGGGCTCGCACCTAGGTTCCCTTCTTTTTATTTTGTACATTAATGACATCTCTCTTTTTTTAATATCAGAGTACTTATATATGCTGATGACATGAAATAGGAAGCGATAACGATATGAATGTGTTTGAGAATGAAATAGAGGGGGGCAACACATCTAAATCTCAGTTCTAGATGCTCAACAAATCTCACACTAGCGAATAAATCTTCGAAAACTCTTCTTTCATTTCTCGCATCTACTCGCATCGCGCATCATATTTTTGCAGGAAATCTTCAAAATCGTCATAAATCTTCTTTATATCTACTCAGCGTACGCGCAGCTAGCCACAGCAAAACACAATATTTCCTGCATTGTAGATAGAGTCGTCCCCCTCGAATGAAATACATGTTTTGTAGAGATGGTGTAGTAAAAGCACAGACAAACAGACATAACACATTGCATATTTCTCATTGTAAAACATCGTCGCTATAACATTACCGCCATCTGTTGAGTACAGTGTGGTGGGTAGTACGCTGAACAGATGACGGTAGTGTGTAAACGTCAAACGCAAGGAAATTGACTATGCGCGCCATAGGTGGCGGTACTACCAACTACGATACTTTTAAATTGGCAAAGCGGTGCATTTTGACGGTTCAACGATTGGAACAACTTTTGACAGACGTCCATACTTTTACTGTAGGGCTTTATTAAATGCTTGTTCGATGCACAACTTGCGAGTTTTATGTCTGTTTGTCTGTGGTAACAGTTTATTGAAAGTGAATATTAAAAAATGTAATCTTATAACATACAGTAGGAACCCGCATAAATGCGAACCATTACTTGACCTTATCATAAAAAGTTAAAAATTATGTATAATCCCTGCTAAACTTTAACCGAAATGGTTATGGAACTTTACATGAACGTTTGTGTGATAAAGTTTTAAACTTTTGTATTGTGGTTTTTTAGAAGTGAACAATACAAATAATGGGTTGTTAGGAACCATTACCATTCCAAATTCTTGTTTTCTCCATACATTTTCGAAAAAGGAATTATATTAAAACCGAGATTAAAACCTTATTATTTATTATTTAAGAAATTTAATGTTAATGCTTATGGTCGTCAGTAAGGTCCATGGATGGTTTTGTAACATTGATCAACTTTATGTGGAATACATCGCGAATTGGTTGCCTGTAAACTAATGATTACCAATTCGCGATATATTTCTCGTTAAGTTGACCGATAATACAATATCATCCATGGACCTTACTGACTACCATAACCATTACCATTAAAGTTCTCGAACCATAAGTAAAAAGGTTCTAATATAGTTCTCTTTCCGAAAATTTATTGCGGACGGCGTGGTGAACATCAATAGCAGCAGTAGGAAGGTGGTGGCTAGTCCACTCTTTCACACATAACAAGTAACAAATGACTGGTCGTGGCAAAGGAGGAAACGGTCTGGTAAAGGAGGCGCCAAGCGTCATCGCAAAGTTCTTCGAGATAACCGCCATCGGTCGTCTGGCTCGCCGTGGTGGTGTCAAACGTATCTCCGGTCTGATCTACAAGGTGTGCTGAAGGTGTTCCTGGAAAATGAGGTCCGTGATGCTGTCACCTACACTAAACACGCCAAGCGTAAGTGGCCATGGATGTCCTCTTCAAAAAACGGCCCTTTTCATGGCCATCAAGCTTACATCAGTAAAGAGTTGGAATAGAATTTATCTGTGCTTGTTTCTCCATATTCAGAACCACAAGAGCCCCCAACGACCACACAAAATGCTCTCCAGAGTTGTTATCTTGTAACTAAACTTGGAAGCAGGGGTGCAAGTGATTTTGATTGATTCTCTTAATTAACTTTCTCTTTAAAAAGATTACTACAAATTTGGTACGCCTACAATTCAAAAACGGAAAGAGTTGAGATAGTAGATAATTGATCAATTAAAAGAACTAAATCACAAACGAAGTGACAGACGGAGCGGCTCGAAAACTTTGGTGACTAACCTGCTATTTCAATTTTTCAGTGTACCACATGGCAGCACCACTACTACTGGATTGTACCACATGGCAACACTACTACTGGATTGTACTAGCAATTTCAACAAATGTATTAGAATGTTTTGGTTCTATCTCTTTCACTCTACTCAAAACTGAAATGCATAAAAAATGACAAAATGATACACTCTTCGCACACTGTCAAAGAATCATTATACACAAAATCAACTTTGTTCAAATCAAAACAAAAAAACAAACCCATCTGGTGGATGATGGCACAAGCTTCCAAGAAAATTCTATTACAGTGAACCACATTATTTTAATGGATTTCTTCGCCAGTTAGTTTTCTGTCACTTCGTTTGTGCTAATAGGCTTTGTGTTGTAGCTTGTGAACTAACGCATCGGTACAAACGTATTACTGATTTGTGCACGGTGAAATCATTGATTATACTGCTGTTTTCTGTGCGATAGCACGGAAATGGACGATTACGACGAAATAGCGCTCTACCCTACTTATAAAATATTTCTTGAAAAATGCTAGGCGATATTAGATAAACAAACAAATTTAATTTGTATAGCAACGGTGGTAACTAACGCTTAATATTTCTTAAGTATTTCCAGGTTTTTCTTACACTCAAAAAATTGCACACGTCATCATCATGTGTCTAACACTTAATTTTGCGCTTATTGTGAAACACATCCATTTCATGTGTGAATCTTAAGCTATGAACCATGCCTGAACACTATGGATTTAAATTGTGACACACTTGGATTCTATGTGCCTCATATGGTGATATCAATAGCTTTGCACATCATAGTTCAATATTCTACAATATTCTACTTTATCGACTTCTACTTTACCGACTCTAAAAATGAATCGACAAATATATAAACAAATTTCAGAGGCCAGAGCTTTCACACATATCTTTTTAATGGGCCTGACTTGGGATTCCATCATGGACTGTTGGGGTGTGCTGCTGTTGGAGTCTTCGTTCGATCTCACTGTGCCACGGTTGTTCTCATATATGAGGCAAGCCGATAGGATAAAGTCACAACTCTTGTTTTCGATGTTCACCTTTCTGAGCAAGCGATTCACATCGTATTGAAATGTAAAACACTTTAAATCCATCTGTTTTGAACAGTAGTGTGATTCAATGTGCAATACACTTGAACAGATAGTGAAAGATTTTCAACTTTTCAAAGTTTGAAACACTAGAAATTAACGTGTATAACACATTGAACTAAGGTGAAACACACTTAAAGTAAATGTGATTGTGCATTTAAAAAATCAAGTGTTTAAACACTTCGATCAAACGTGTGAAATTTTTTGAGTGTAGATATCAGAATTCGGATTTTTTAAATTCTACATTTAAAAGTGTAGGTATATAGACACTGATAACTCGATCTGGTTACATTTGTTGCTTTCGAGGTAATGAAAATTTGCTCTTGATTTGACATGCTCCTTGTTTCGAAAACATATAATTATGACCGAACATATGACGTTTTTTAATTGTTTGCAGCACTATCAATATTCAATTATGTATAGCAATCTTTTGAAGATATAATCTGATATTATTATTAAATAAAAACGATTACTGATATATTAACGATACGAGATAAGTCTTCTGTTATAGTAATTAAACAGTGCAAATGGTTCTTAACCATCAGAATATAATTAACCCAAATGAGCAAACGTCAGAGAAGTCTATAACCAGCTGCATTCACACCTTTCTCTCTAACTCCATCAGCTCCGACCACACTTGGGAAACGTCAAATCTTCCGTCAAACTGACAGGCAGCTCCACGATTACACAACTACTAACGCGCATCAAATGGCGACGAGTAGGAAGAAAGGCAGCAAACTCCTTATGTCTGTCGTCTAGTCGATTTAGTTAGTAGTCGCGAAGGTGTCCGAGTAGACGAGTCAGTAACATCATCGAATCGAAGCCAAGACGTTTCGTTCTGCGTTGTGCGAAGTAGTGAACCCGTCCTCATGCGTCTCGCGCTAGTTCTGGCCTACTGAGCTGAGCTAAGGTCTCTCAATACCTGTACACCGTCGCCGTCGTCGTCGTCGTCGTCTTCGTCGGTATCTAGATCATAGTTTTTTGGAATCCATTCTGCGTATTTGGAATCGTTTTTCGGGGATTTCCAGTGCCGTGTGGTGAACCAATAGTGGTCCGAATCGGAAAAGTGTCCGTAAAATAAGGAATAACCAAAGCAAAAGTAGTGACGACCCTGTGGATAAGCGAAGAGGAAGGTGGAGAAAAAGTTGTATGTCAGTTTTTCCGTCTGTCCGTGTGTGATTGAAAATGATGGCGAATGTCCATGGTGTTGTGTTCAAAAGTGCACTTTTTCTGATGATTTTGCTGGCCGATTGTCGTGTGAACTATGCGGAAGGTGAGTTACCCAAAACGACGCAACCCCGTCACAGAACAGTTCCGGAAGTGAAAAGCAGTGCAAGTGCAGTTTGATCTTCTGCTTTGTCTTTTTTTTTGTCCGAACCACGGTTTTTTCTTTTCTTTTTTTTTGCGTGGTGAAAATGTTCTTAAAATATAAGAAGTGGAAGATTTTCTTTGCCTTCTTTGCACCAGTTTCTGGTTGGTGTTGTTGTTGTTGTTGTTGCTGCTGCTTTCGTTATTTGCCGAAAGAGAGGAGCTTAACAGATGAATATCGCAATACAAAAGCGATAGAGTGAGACAGGACTAACTTATAGTTGAACGAGCCTTCTACGCTCCGCCATACACACATGCGAAATAGTTGCGGTAATGGATTCACGATACCACCACACTAACTGACTCGCGAACACTATCGACCTGCTGCTACCGCATACCATCACTGTATCGACAAATAATGGCTAGGTGTTTGACAGACCTCAGCCAGTCAAGGCATCGGTGGTGGGCCATGCCACGGGTATTCACTCGCCTCAATGTTGATCTATACATACGTGTACAGTATTCGCCCCGGCTTCCAGGGCACATTTCTCAGACATTGAACTACTATGTCCGCATAACGTAAACGGTAGATCGCTAACCAGATGAACTGGTTATAAAAACTACTGTTCTGAAAGAGAGCTGCTATTTTTATTGATGAGTAGCTTAATGAATCCATAGATAGCATAGATGCTTTCTAGTAAATGATCAGTTCTAATTGAAAAAAAACCCATAGGCCCACATTAAAGAATCATTGGCAAACAATCGCACTGTAACCGGATTCTTTGATGATACACAAATCCGGAATAAAAATATAAACAAAGACTATATATTCAATGGAATCGTCTGCCGGCTGAGTTCTAATCAAGAAGATGAGAAATAGTACTTTTCGCACGAGAGAACACTCGAGAACACAGATAATTCAATGGAAGAGCACTGCCAATGAATCGTAGTTTATTGTTTCCGAAATGGCGGATTTGAAGGAATAATTTTAAGTTGAGTAAACATATGCCACTCCGCAAGGTCTACTAATAGCAGTAATGGTGCGGATGGAATTCACCTGTTGTTACCCCTTGACGGTGTAAGGTGGAGTCATGTTGGACCTGAAAAAGATTCTCTCCATAGACGGTCTACGCCAAGCGTACAGATAAATCTGGATAATCCAGTACACATTGAATGGTTCATTGATATTGTCTCAACCGATCATATGATGACTAGATCATACCAAGAGCAAATTTTCATTACGTCGAAAGTAACAAAGGTAAACAAAGTTGAGCTATAAGTGTCAATCGATGCTCCTGCTATCACACTATATACTGTCCGAATATAGGATCACATCCCACTATTAAATTTATTTACCAGTCAAATTGCTTTTTGACGTAACCACCTTCCGATCAAAATATTTTTCGATGTTACTTAAGTCACCCGATTTCTATGAAGATGCCGTTTGTCTTGAGTAACACCGCAGAGAAACCTGTGAAAAGTGTACGTTCGTCGTTTTGCTTTCTCATTATTAAAGTGAATAAATCGAACTGTTTGTTGCTAAGATGATTTCGGTAGTCTTAAAATGATGAATGAGCTGCACGTAAGGAGACGTGGTTGATAATTCTCCCGAATATCGTGGTAAATACACTTTGACTTAAGTAACATTAGGGACCACCAAACGACGTATAATAACTTTTGACTCAAAAACCAGAATTTTCAGCATGACAGCTAGCGACCTGCTTTAAATGATTAAAATCCTGCTTAATATGTTAAACATTGCTATCACTATGAGATTATATGTGTTTAATTAAAAATAGGCATAACTTTTCAGTTATCAAAACAAAACTTTATTTTTCTCGGATCGGTGCGAATGTTACTTTCGACATAGTGAAAATTTGCTCTTGATATTTGATCTGACGTTGATGACGAGTTTTGGAATTCCCTGGACATATTTCATCCATGGAATCCAATCTTAATGAATGTTCTGTTGCAAACGATTTTGTCTCAGTCTTGATTTTTTATATGAACTACAAAACGATTTTAAGATCCTAAAACATCTGTTACAAATACATGGAAATGAATCGTAAATCGAACGTATAAATCTCATAAATCAGCATGGACGTGTTTCGCATGTTGAAGACATTTTATTCGTCGAACGATCTGATCTCCAGGTCTTTGAGAGTCTAAAGGGTGATACGGTCAAAATTTGGTCAATATCAACTTGACGTATTTCTTTCAATTTTGCATTTAAAAAACCTGAACACCCCTCATTTTGAAGGTGTGTGTGTGTAGAATGTTGCTCCTATTTTGATTTTGGAATTCACTCTTCAGTTGTCAAAATGCCGTCCAAGCAAGAAGAGCAGCGTATCAAAATTTTGCTCGCGCATCGCGAAAATCCGAGCTACTCGCACGCAAAGTTGGCAAAATCGCTAAAAGTTGCCAAACCAACCGTTACAAATGTAATTAAAGTGTTTGGGGAACGTTTGTCGACAAGTCTGAATCGGAGGGAAATCGAAAACCGGAAGCCGCTGAGACGACAAAGAGAGTTGCCGGTAGTTTCAAGCGAAACCCTATCCTCTCTCTCCGAGATGCCGCAAATAAGCTGGGTGTATCGTCTACAACCGTGCATCGAGCCAAAAAACGAGCCGGACTATCGACTTACAAGAAGGTAGTGACTCCAAATCGCGATGATAAACAAAATACGACGGCCAAACCGCGATCCCGGAGGCTGACGAAGTTTGACTGCGTGGTAATGGACGACGAAACCTACGTCAAAGCCGACTACAAGCAGCTTCCGGGACAGGAGTTTTATACGGCAAAAGGAAGGGGAAAGGTAGCAGATGTTTTCAAGCACATGAAACTGTCAAAGTTCGCAAAGAAATATCTGGTTTGGCAAGCCATCTGTACCTGTGGCTTGAAAAGCAGCATTTTCATAGCTTCCGGGACTGTCAACCAAGAAAATTACGTGAAAGAGTGTTTGAATAAACGTCTGCTGCCTTTCCTGAAGAAACACGGTTGTTCCGTACTGTTTTGGCCGGATTTGGCGTCTTGCCATTACGGTAAAAAGGCCATGGAGTGGTACGCCGCCAACAACGTGCAGGTGGTTCCCAAGGACAAGAACCCTCCCAACACGCCAGAGCTCCGCCCAATTGAGAAATACTGGGCTATTGTCAAGCGGAACCTAAAGAAGACCAAAAAACTGCTAAGGGCGAGCAGCAGTTCAAGGCAAACTGGCTTTCTGCGGCGAAGAAGGTGGACAAGGTGGCTGTACAAAATCTGATGGCAGGGGTCAAGCGTAAGGCCCGGCAATTCGGATTTGGAAAAGCGGAAGCCTAACTGAATATTTTTCCTGAATTTTATACTAATTGAACTTGAAAAAGAAATTTAATTTGATTTTTTAAATAAACGATTTCACCGATTTACACGCGTTTTCCCTTGACCAAATTTTGACCGTATCACCCTTTAGATCATCTTATATATAAAGCAAATGGATCGTAATTAATGCCCATAGACTCCATGAATCTGTTTCTATTAGCATTATCTCAGCGTCACGCACACATATGACGTGTTTGTTTGTTTACATTTACCTGCTGCTTGCTGCTGTATCCTTTCCAATCGACAGAATTGTCCAACATTGTTTGAAAACGATTTTCAACGCCCCAAACATCTCAGGTGAGTGTGACTATTGTCGGCCACCTCTTTTCTTTCGACAACCTTTCCATTTGAACTGCATGTAAACCTGCTCGTCAATTATTGGCATCTCGAAATCAGCCGCATTTGGTAGTGTGTATATTTCATTTAAAGAAAAATCTGACATAACAGCACAGACAAACAGACACAAGGGGTGAGACAGCTTTACTCTGAGTTCCGCGTAGCTGCGAGTAACTCGCGAGTAGCTCAATGTACCTCAAAATTTAATCGACTTTCATCGATTTACTGTCTTTTTACTCCTCGGCTTACTCCGTTGACCGCCTTCATATCGACAGTGAGCATGCATAAGGGCGTATACTAGATGATCGATTCTCTTCATCGATTTTCTTTTTGCATTGCTACAAATTTTCTAGAATTTGTTCAATGCAAAGTTGTAATAGGTTGTATTGGCCATCAAAAGCAACAGCAAACGCACCGAGAAACGTTAATTCTAGCGAGTTATTAACAAAAGAGAAAATCGACGAAGAGAATCGATCATCGCGTTTACGCCCTTATGCATGCTCACTGTCGATATATTAGGCGTCAGTCTTGTTTGTAAACAAAATAAAATTCGAGCGTCACTTTTCAATAGGCCCTTTCTGCTCTTCATCGACTTTCTCTTTGGATCGTCACGGCTGTGTTAAGATATTTCCGGATATTTTGGACACCCAGATCAATGGAAGATGCAACAATCTAGCATCTTATACGACAAAGACGACAGGAAATTTTTTTGTAGCTGAGTTATTTACGAAAAAGAGAGTCGATCAGAGAATTGAAAGAATGTAGATAGACCAATTTGAATTCGGAGTAGGTAACCTGAACGACACGACGAGAGTGGGATGGTCAGCATATAGACTGATCAGGGGCCGGTTATGCGAAATCATTTGCCAGGACAAGATCTAGCAAACGTCTGTATCGGTTGAGAAAAGTGTTTACTTGACTAAACCCGTTTAAGTTAAATCCGTCCAAAAGAGTACAGCAAGCCACCGGCATATGCGATAGCAGTGGGTCAATGAATGGTGTGCCGCTGTCGGTAAAGCGCCACTGTAAGCCAGCTTGGTTGTAGTCGCCAAATAGTAGTGCGGGAGAGCGGGGACTCAATCGAGACCTAACAATGATGCTCACGGATGATCGTGCAGTCTGCAGGTAGACAGCGCCAATACTGATAATGTTTTGTGGAAATTCCACGACAATCCAGAGCTGTTCCAGCAGAATGGAAATGGGCGAGCTTCTTAGGTAGCTGGTTAGTCTTGTTGAGACAGCAGCCAGAACGCCTTCACCGTGCGATTTTTG